GGGTTTGAACCGCCAGCCTTCTGGTTACCAGTCAAATGCCTTAGACACTATACTACCAGATGGCAACTGACAGTAAGAATGTAGTTCAGAATGAAATAATATGAAAAGTAGAATTAAATCCTTGACTTGATAAATACATGTTTTTAATAGGAGAAAAAAACTAGTCCATCAAATAGTGAATTATGAAGGCTGTAATTATAGTAATAGAATTCAACATTACAGGATATAAGTGGAGCTAATAGAACATGAATTTATCTAATCATCCTCATTTAAACAATGTTTAAGTTCATTTAACTCATACTAATAATTTTCTATATTGGTTACTATTGTTATCCACTTTATATATTTTATTTAATGTTCAAAACAATACTTGGAATTCAAAACTAGGGCCCAAATATATCAAATAGCTGATCTAAAGTTGTGCTTAGATGCTGATTTCATTATTTAAAGTTTTTTATTACCTTAGAGGTTTGGGTTTTACACAGTTGACTTCCAAGGGGTTCAAAATCCAAAAGTGAGTATATGCCATATGAATGTGTATACCTAGGTTATGATCCACATGATTTAAATAGCTATGCTTTTATTTAAATAATTTATAGTAATTTCAAATAGCATTCACTAATTATTGGTAGAATCATATATAGTGTGTAACTAGATGTACAGAAGTATAAAACTTTGGGATATTCAGGGTCTTACAGATGCTAGTCTTTAAGTCTCTTTAAACTACATTTCTTATGCTTTAATAAAAAACCTAGGATTTATGTTGGCTTCTTTGATGGCATATAAAGTTCATGTGTTATCAGCATTCAACTCTCACTAGCTACCTAGCCTTCCTACAGAATGAGAAATTTTCTATTAACCAGACTCTTGAGAAGACAAGATAATTGAGAAGTTTATTGTTTCATGGTTCCAGAAAATTGAAAAACAGTTACACAGTTTGTAAGTGTTATGGATTGAATTATGAACCTAAAAATATGTGTTGGAATCCTAACCTCTGGTATTCCTGTTTGGCAATAGGCTTTTCTGTGTTGTGTTAATTAATCCATCTCAGTGTAAGGCATGTTCTAAACCTAATCACTTCTGAGTTATAAAAAGACATGAGCATTTACTGGGGAAGATAGATGCCATGTGAGGATCTCCAAGGAACCAAGAAACACTCCAAAAGTAATAAAGATGGCCCAGACCCTGACTTTTAGCCACTCAGACTGAGAATAATAATTTCTGTTCTTTAAGGTCATCCACTTGTGGTATTTGTGTTACAGCAGCACTAAGAAATGTAGGGCAGTGAGTAAACCCAAGAGTAGTTTTGGTCACCACAGCTAGTAATTTCATTCTCTGGATGTCAGTTTCCTCTTTAGTAAAATGCAGTTATAATATCTTATCTACTATAAATCAGGTAAATGAACCAGATTATCAGCCAAGACATCTATGCTTAAAACCAGTCATTCACTTTTTGAATCTTAATAAGAAAGATAAATGCAAATACAATTTGAAATGTATAGATTTAAAACTGTTGATGTTCCTCTTCAATTATAGAGCAAAGCATGAATTAAGTGTTACAATTCTTTCCCTTTAAGACCTTTAGTCAAAAAAAAAAAAAAATCTCAGTTAAGTTTTCTATGGAGCATATCTAAAATTTAACAATTTTTCTCTCAACTTTTCCTATCTCCCTTCTCCATTTTTTTCTAACACATTATATGTTTTAACTTATTCTTGATTTTTTTCACCTGTTTTCTCTCACTAGCAAGTAAACTCTAGGAGGCCAGGGATTTTTATCTGTTTTGTTTCCTTATATATGCCCAAGGGCTAGATTAGTGCCTGACAAACAGCAGGCAGTCACTAATGATTACTAAACGAAAAGTTACCATAAAGATTTCAGCTTCCAAAATTTTAAGTAGCCAAATAACAGAGGCTTTTCTTTATATTCTTGCTATACCTGGGTATAAACACTAAATCATTACTTTTGACTGAGAAAATTTTTGAAATCACACAATAAGTTGTTATTATTCAGTGGCTTAGTTCTTTGAACACCATTTGGAAGCTTTAGATATGAACCTCTTCAGAGTCATAGCCAAATATCTTGGGATGTACAATGCCTTCTTCCTGTGGAACTAGCTAATCTGAACCATGGAAAACTGAATTTGGTCTTATAAAATGATTTAAAAGTATAAACTTGTTTCATACGGTCTTTTGATGGTTTCTCTCAGGTGCTGGTTACCATATAGTCGTGGAGAAGAAACCTCACTGTGATGTTGAAGGGATCACTGCACTGATTAGTTCTTATATTCCAAATGCCACTCTGGATAGCAATGTTGGAGCTGCATTATCATTTTTCCTACCCAAAGAGCGTATGCATAGGTAAGGATCCAGATAATTCTAGGTGGATGGTTTTGGGTGGCCAGAAATAATCATTACTTTTCCAGAAATAACAGGTTTAGTGAGTAGTGTTATTCTAACAAGGCAGGCATCAAGTTATAGCTGTCATTTGGCAACTAGTGTTGGAAAGTTCATAGTAGGATATTTCTCTCTCTGAACAGAGCATTGTGTCTCAAGTTCATGGCTTGACATTTTTATTTCTGCCTTTTTTGGGAGGTTGGCCACTTGGGAGGCTAGAGCTTCATGGCATTAATAAGTTATAACGAATGGTAGGACACTTATAGTGTACAAATTTTATGCCTGGTGAGTAGGAGTCAGGGAAGTATTAAGATGATTCATCTAAAAAGTAGCTTGAATAAAAAGTAGCTTCAATAACTCTTGAAGTGGGGATGACAAGGACACAGAGAAAACAAGGCATTTGACCCCAGCAATAACATAGTTATAGATGAGAGACACAGGAATAAGTCTACCTGGGATTCCCATGCCAGGGAAGAGAAATGGAAGTGAAGACCCTCATCAGCGACTACCAAGGAGTGTGCTATTTTCATGTTCTTGCCAGAGGTAATAACTGCATAGATATCCCATGGAGGCAAGATGGTTGCCATACACAAGAAGAGGTAAAGGTCTTGTAAGACATTGCTCTATGTTCCTATCTGATAAATAACTCTTACATAAAATGAAGGAATTAACTAACACACAAGCTACCAGGCAATTCAAGATTTTAATAAGTGAAAAGATCTGAAAATAAGAGTAGCCAAGAGGAAGAATGAAAAGAAGAGAAAATTCTCTGTGGCAGTTGTATTCCTTTAAAGAATACATCTGATCGATCTTGAGAAGCAGGATCAGGAAAATTCTGAGGCAGCGAGGGAGAACCTCAACCCTAGTAATAAGGGAGAGTAAAACAACACTATATCAAGGAATAAGGGAAATTAAAGAAACTACAACTGTCCATACAATTCATCCATTATATGACAACTCATTGAGCAGAGGTATTTTGTTGGGTACTTGAGCACTGTGTGGTAATCTGTAAGTGCAGAGTGTTCCTGAAAGAAACATGTAGACAGAAAAATGCTTAAACTTACCACGGTATCTGCCTATCCTATATCATAAGTATACAAATGACATTATCAGAAGAGATCAGGGACAATGACTATGTCATTAAGTTTAAAAAGAGAAATGTAAGGATTTGGAAGCAGCTGATATTTTCCTCATGTCTTCCTACAAATGTGTTGAACATGGAAGAGAAGAAGAGGAAGATGCTGAGAAGTAAGTAGTCACATAGATTAATATCTACACGTTTTATAAGAGCTCTGGTGGCATAGTGCCTAAGGCATCTGACTGTTAACCAGAAGGGTGGTAGTTCAAATCCACCAGCCACTCCTCGGAAGGAAGGTTGAGCAGTCAACTTCCGATGGACTTCTATTCCATGGACAGCACAACATATAAATTATGTAACTGGGGAGGAATTTGATTGTTCAGAACGAAGTTTTGTTTAACAGGATAATTTTAAACTTTTGAAAAGGAGAAAGAAAAACAACCAGAATAAAATGCCTGTAACCCATTTAATTCACAGAACAATTTGATGTCATAGGAAAAGGATGGAATGACGAGAAGTTCTTGGTTATTTCTGAGAATTTGTTAGCTAAGATAAATTGTTCATTTACTTTGTGCCAAACACCATTCTAAATGCTTTACATGTATACATTTACATGAGAAAACAATGAGGAAAAGACTTGGGAACAATACTT